ATATATATATATATATATATATATATATCCTTTTAAATTTTTCACACCAAATTCGATCACATGGATTTGACATGGGTGAAACCAAGAGAGAATCCATTAGAATGGATTCAAATATTCAGTGGACCAAACATGCTTTACAAAAAAGAAAATGAAGTTCCTCCTTTAAATGAAAATACTGTCCTTATTATGCTTGTCAAAATTCAAGTTTGAGAAAACAGATAATCCCTATATAATAAAAGGGTAATATGCAAATTGACCCCTAACAGCAGAACGACTGGGAATGACTGGTCACTATGACACCACACTGACCACCAGGGGGCAGACGCTCAATGCAGGAGCTGCCCCCTGGTGGTCAGTGTGCTCCCACAGGGGGAGCTCTGCTTAGCCACAAGCCAGGCTGACGGCTGCCAGCACAGTGGTGGTGGTGGGAGCCTCTCCCGCCTCCTCAGCAGCGCTAAGGATGTCCGGGCTGCCAGAGGGATGTCTGACTGCCAGCTTAGGCCCGCTCCTCTCCCGGGAGCGGGACTAAGCCAGCAGGCCCCCCCCCCAGGAGCGGGACTAAGCCAGCAGGTGGACATCCCCTGAGGGGTCCCAAACTGCGACCCCCCCCGAGTGCACAAATTTTTGTGCACTGGGCCTCTAGTATGATAACAAAACTGATGTAGGAATGCTAATTTCCAAATAACATGTTCATGGAAATGACATGGAACTATCTATATCTATATCTATAGTTCAAGTGTATAGTTCAATAAACTTCAAGTGTATACAATCATCTATAGCTAAAATATTCACTACATGTCTTCCATATTGGATTTTCAATAAAAGCATATGTAATTAGAAATTTTGAAGAAGAAAATCATTTTAACTTTAGATGATATAATCATTCAATTCTTGATAAATTTCAAGTAACTAAAATTTTCTCTAGCTGTATATAGCAAGTAGCAGACTGATTTTTTAAACAATATTTCAACTAATGGTATGTTGAAGGTCAAAAGAAATTCAATCCAGTTTTCTATATTTTGGGAAGCTACAGAATTTTGAAAATGGAAAAAAACCAATCATTTTAGCTAAGTATATGTCATTTTATACTTAAATGCCTCAAATAAATATGAATGTTTTGAATCCTGTAGGGTATAGATTATCGCCTGACCAGCAAACAAGATATCCCCAACTCTTTTGAATTAGGAAAGGCTTATTATGGTTTGGTATATGAAGGGTATATGAAGCCTCTGCACTATCTTTGCAATGTTTCTTTAAAACTAAAATTATTACAAATATAGAAAGTTTTATTTTTAAAAGTTTACATAATTTTATGACTTGATAATCAGAGAAACTAGGCATATGCATACTTATGTGCACATTCATTTCTATAAAATAAATGACAAAACCCAAAATGTCTTTAAGTAATTTTCATTCATAAAACAAAAATCCTAGATAAAATAGTTTGGTGCATATATAACTTCAAGGAAATGTGATATAGCTAATTAGATTTGTCGAAATTACTTTCTACATCACTTATAAGAGTATCTAGAATAAATGAAGTCAATCAAGTTCACATTCAACCACATGACACAATGAAACAGAGAGATTTACTTATGACAACTTTTAAAGGCAATTTTTTGGAAACCCTTTGACTTAAGAATAGTTTATTCTTAGAGGAAGCAAGAACACACAATAGGGTAAAGACTATTCAATAATTGGACAGATAGATGCAAGAAAAATGAAACTAGACCACTTTCTTACACCATATACAAGAATAAACTCAAAATGGATTAAAGAATTAAATTAAGACTCAAAACCATGAAACTACGAGAAGAAAGCACAGGCAGTAAAATTTCTGACATTTCTCTTAGCAATATTTTTTTCTGATATATATCCTTAGGTAAGAAAAACAAACAATAAAAAAGGGGGTCCCATCAAATTAAAAAGTTTTTGTACAGCAGAAGAAACCATCAACAAAATGAAAAAAGCCTACAGAATGGAAGAAGATATTCACCATTGACATAACTGATAAGGCATTAATATCCAAAATTTATAAAGAAGTCATATAACTCAAAACCAATAATCCAACTAAAAAATGGGCAGGGGACCTAAATAAACACTTTTCTAAAGAGGACATACAGATGGCCAAAAGACATATGAAAAGATACTCAATGTCACTAATCATCAGAGAAATGCAAATTGAAACTACAATGATAGATCCCCTCAAACTTGTCAGAATGGTTATCATCAATAAATCAACAAACAACAAGTGTTGGTGCGGATATGGAGAAAGGGAACCCTTGTGCAACTGTTGGTGGGAAAGCAGGTTGGTACAGCCACAGTGGAAAACAGTATGGAATTTCCTCAAAAAATTAAAAATGGAACTGTCTTATGACCTAGTGCAGGGGTGGGCAACCTTTTTGTGAGTGCGTGCCAAAACCAGCAAAATCTCTGACTCAAAATTCTTCTGCATGCCAACCCTAATTTTTTGAGAACATGTTATGCCTACTTGATATCTCTTAAGGTGTACGTATGTGAAGAACCTTGAAGAAATAATAAAATTCATTCGAGCAACAAAAACAGTGTATGATGATGAAAAATACATTTATTTTTTAATGCATACATGTTATGTAAAATTATTTATTTATCTAAGATGCACCTACACCGAGTTTATCTGAAAAGTAAAAAAGTCTATATTAAGAAAAAAATGTAAATGGAAAATTATAAGAGAGGGTTTAGCGTGCCAGCAAAAGTTACTGGCGTGCCATGTTTGGCACACGTGCCAGGGGTTGCCCACCCCTGACCTAGTGATTCCATTTCTGGGTACATATCCCGCCAAAACCCAAAACATGAATGAGCCCCCTGTTCATTGCAGCACTGTTTACAATAGCCAAGATATGGAAGCAACCCTAGTGCCCATCAATAGATGACTGGATGAAAAAGCTGTGGTACACACGGGGGTGGGCAAACGTAGGTTTATTGTGAGTATGCAAAACAGAGTTTATTCTTCTATTATTACTTATTAATTTGTATTTTTTCCATACGAACAAATGCAAATCTACCTTTGCCCACTCCTGTATCTACAATGGAATACTATACAGCCATAAAAAACAATGAAATTTTACCATTTGAGACAGCATGGATGGAACTAGAGGGTATGATGCTAAGTAAAATAAGTCAGAGAAAGAAAGACAAATACCACATGATTTCACTCTTATGTGGAATCTAAAGAATAAAATAAACAAACAAAAGAGAAACAGACTCAGAGAGAGATCAGACTGATGGCTATCAAAGAAGATGGCGGTTGGCGGTTAGGGGGCTGGATAAAAATGATAAAGGGATTCAGAAGTACCAATTAGTCACAAAGCAGTCATAGTAATGTAAATTATAGCACAGGGACTACAGTCAACAATATTGTAATAATATCTACGGTGCCAGGTGGGTACTATGACTGGCCACTATGCTCTACACCTGAAACTCATACAAAATAATACTGAATGTCAACTGTAATTGAAGAATGGATGAATAAATATCACAAACACACAAAAGAGAGAAAAGTCTGGAGAGGGAAAAAACCTCACCAAAAAAAACACATACACAAAAAATGCTTTCACCAAAGTAGCAAAAAGAGTTTTTTTCACTTATTGGGTTATAGAAAGATCAAGTGCTCCATAAAATTATTTCCTATAAATGGCCAATCATTTTACAGGGAACAGGCAAGGCCCAATATCCATGCATAAGATATCAATTACCAGTCCCAGTCAGCATAGTCAGAGAAGAGTTCGTTCTAGAGCCCAGTGAAGCGGAATCGTGGCTCGGGCCTTTACTAGCCATGTGACACTGGGCAAGCTCGCTGCTACATGTCTCAGTTAGCATATGTATACAGTGGGGACAATACTACTACATTTGAGAGCACTGCTGTGAGACTTGAATGAGGTTCTTCCTATTATGTGGTTAGCATAGCACATCCTAAACTCTCATTAGATGTTGTTGCTATTATCCTCATTATTATTGAGTAGGTTGTCCAGAAGGACTATATACTTATGTTCTCATCAATAACTAAGGTGAAAAAAGACCTTAAAGTTTGTTTTTTTTTCTCCTAGCACTTAAATCAAATAGCATAAAACTTTAAAGAAAACAAAACCATTGTAGAGGTTTAAATTAAGCAACACAGACCAGTAATTTTTT